TTAATTTTTCTTAATTTTTGCAAATTGCTAATTATTAATAATATGTCAATAAAAATTGTTTCCAACTAGAAATTAATTAGTAATAAAGACAATAAAGCGTGAGAAAAATTTTAAGGTTTCTTTTTATTTTCGAGCAGATATAGGTATATTTCTTTTTATTCTTATATCTAAAATGTTTTTTAATTTACTAATACCATAAATAAATTATCTAATAATAATTATGAAAAAAATCAATGCCGATTATATTAATATTAATTTTTGACTTTCTGCAATAAACTTAAATTTTATATTTAATTTTATATTTATATTTGTCTATAAATCACTCTCTGAATGTTGTGTTTACGAAAAATCCAAAGCGCTAGAAATAACTATAATCTGATAATTTAACTAAACGCCAAATAATGATCTGAGATACAACAGTGAAAGAAACGATTACTACTTTTTTTTTTACATTATTAACATTCAATTATAATTTCCTCAATTGACATTTTATATCTTTTCGGTTAAATTAAAAATAAGACAGATAAGTAGAAGTGAATTTTCTGTCAGTTAGACTCAAGATTAAAATTGAACGGTTATGTTGAACGCGGCTATAGTAACGGAATGTTATTCACCTTGAATCTTAGTTGGCCAACCGGCGGTTTTGCGTACGGTATTCCTCGGAATGCGACGTAATGACCACCATAGACAGCTTCCTCAACGATACCGATTAATCTTCCCTCATGTACATGCACGTCTACTCGATTATTATCCATGATACGGTGGAAGAATAGCAACAGAGGTATATTAACGAATCTGCTGGTCTACGTTGTATGACTATGTATGTCGAGATTATGTAACTATATATATATACTCGTGGAACTGAACGTCAGAGTATATTATATAATGACACCAGTTCTCATCGAGAGAGTGGGGATTAAATGAAGAAGAGTTGCTGATTCGTTGTTTGTATGATACCATTGTCGCCGAATAACTCTCTCATAATGTAGCAAAAAGTAGCATGACAAATGGTATTTTTCATGTTAAAATATTACAAATAATTAATAATAAAATAACAATTATATATATAGAATGTTCCATTTTAACGGAAATAGCACTATATCTCTCAAATTTGACGTCGTAGTATAAAAAAACAAAACAATTTTTAAACAAAAATGTGGTCTGAAAGAGGATAAAATTGAAAATCAATTTTTGAAAAAAATTGATTTTTTAAGATCACACAAAGCTTATCGCTATGAAGATTATAGCCATTAAAAAAAATGTAATTACATGATATACATATTTTTATATAAATATATTTCTAGTTATTCTATATATAAAAGTATTAAGATAGAGTTATCGAAAAATTAATAGTTTTTACGAGAAATTTTATACTTTATTCTTATATATTTTAGCATGATGTACAAAATATATCGTAAAATATTTATGACATTTTGGCAACTATATCTTAATTCTTTGGTCATGAGATTTTTAAAGGCATATTATCGATATTTTGATTGTGAATTCTTTTGATAGATAGATTTTAAATTGTAAAATAAAAAAATACACACACAACACACACACACACACACACACACACACACACACATTCACATACCACAATCCGACATCTATGATACAAATTTTTTGTTAAAGCTTTTACAAGTATATCAATTTTTTCAAATTTTCATATTTATATTCAGAAATATTAAAAGAATTTACTCTGTGAAACAAACGATAGGCTCTAATTTAAATAGTAATAATGATAATGAGTATATCACCGTTATTCACGCTAAATGTATCTGCGAAATAAAAACAATTAAAATTAAAACTAGACATTTCGATCCTATCATTTTTATTGAGTCATATCAATATTTCTTATCTAATCTAATTCAAGTTACATCAAATCATTATCTATTTTAAATTGTCAATATTATATTCTCTATAATTAAAACATTTGCATTTTAATAATAAGCTTGCTTCCTTTACATTTTCGTAATTAACAATTTTTTTTGCTCTGTTGCTTGAAAATCCTTATAGCTGATGAAATTAGAATTAAAATTCCACGTTACCGACGGATGGTTAATATTTTTATACGCAGACTACTGAGATAAATCAATTGATGTAAAGAAAATATTATATGTACATAGTTGCTTTTCAAAAATGTTATGCAATATGCAACTGTTACACAGAGAAAATTTTATATTTAAAATTACTATAATGTTGTAGAAATTGCGGATTATCATGACAATTATAAGTTTAAATGCTATAGCTACTTTTTTAAAAACAATAATGCAGCGTAATTTTTACACTTTTTCATAGTAAAAAATTTTTTATTACAAAATCAAAATTTGTTGAATAAAAGTTAGTATTGTAAAGATAAGTAAAAAAAATATATATCTAGCAAATTTTGTTTGCGTATCATAATAAAAATTAACTGTTTTCATGTTAGAATATAGTTTAAGCAAAGGCTTTTAACAAAAATTACTTCATTTATGTGATAAAAATTAGTAGTACCATAGTAAAAGTTATGTCGGAATCATATTGTGATGTCCATCGAAAATACAAGAAATAATATATATAAAGTATAATTTAAAATTATATTATAACTTAATATTAAATTTTCTCGATGTATATATGCTTTTGTCAAAGCAACTATGTATTTTGTTTACACTAATAATTGATTTATTCTAATATTCTATGCCTAAAATTATTAAGGTACATAAAAAAATGTACAGTTTATGAGATATTTTATATTTTATGTCAAAATATGCCAGAATAAAGAATACATTTTTTTGTAAATTATTGATATTTTTTTATAACTTTACTTTAATATTTTTATATATAGAATTACTAAAAGAATCATATTATGTAAAAAAAATATATAATTCTAAAAAAAATGATGACTTTCATATAATCTTAAAAAATCAATGTTTTCGAAAATTGATTTTATCATTATTTGTCTCTCTTTAAATAATACAAATTTATCTAAAACATTTTTATATGATGTTAAATTTATAAGATATACTGCTGTTCCCATTAAAGAATAAGATACACATACACACATTCTGTATATAATAACTTACGTAATAGGTATGATAAAAAACTTGCGTGCTAATAAATTTTTAAT